AATGGGGCTCGACAACCAGAGATAAGGAAGCCACAGATGGCATCCCGACACCCCTTCATATCGCAGCCTTTTCTGGAATGTCTGAACTTGTGCTGGAGCTTATTCAAAAAGGATCATCCATCACGAGCCTGGATGCCCAAGACCGTATTCCTCTCCATTGGGCAGCCGCCAACGGTCATGCAAAGACTGCATCGTTACTTATTCAGCAGGGAAGTGAGCCAAATGCAGTCGATGCCCGCGGGCTGAAGCCGATCCATCTCGCCGCTAAGAAAAACCACCACTCGGTTGTCACAGTCCTCCTCGAAGCCGGTGTGGAACCAAACACGACAAAGACGAAGGAGAACCATGCTGGTCGGCTTCTAGGTGGAGAGTTGATGACCCGGGGCGAGTGTGCAATTCTGTATGCCAGCCAGGGCGGGCACACGGAGACGGTCATATCAATGATTCCATTTTGCAATGAAGAGACTTTGGAGCAGCTCCTGTGCGAGTGTTGTCGGTTTAACCGCACAGACTCTGTGCTGGAGATCCTCAAGAGATCAAACGTCTCGGCTGATGCCATGTATCGTGGTGGAACAGCCCTCTATCTGGCCTGCTGCGGGTTCAATGTGGAGTGTATCAAAGCTCTGATTCAACGTGGAGCGGACGTCAACAAAATCTCTGCTTGGGCACCTCGTCCTACTATGAATGGAGCGGGAAGGAGAACAGAAGCTTCTGCAACACCGGTTCACTGGATAATTCAGAAATGGAGAGAAGAAAATAAAAAAACATGCAGAACCATTCTGAAGCTTCTGATTGATGCCGGTTCTGATCTTGAACAACTTAATGGTGGGCAGCTCACAGCCTTGCAGCTGGTAGCGAAAGGACACCAGTCCGCTGATGTGCCATCGGAGTGCCAGATGGAGATTTTAGGATTGCTTCTAGAAGCTGGTGCGAGCCCCAAAACGACTGGTCAAAACGGAAATACCGCCCTGCATTTTGTTGTTGGGCCACATCTGAGCCTGGGTGCTGTCCAGCTTCTGGTCGAGTATGGAAGCGACCCGAACTTAAAGAACTCTAGTGGTGAGACGCCTCTTCATCTTGCTTTGAAATATCGCTCGAGCAAAAAAGCAAAGAAAGAAGAGCAAGATGCTGTTATCAAGTACTTGATTGAGAAGGGTGCCGATCCCAATGTGGAGGATAAGAAGGGAAACTCAGCAGTGCAGGCCGCACTGTTTGTGTCAGCTGAACTATTCAAGACACTCCTCTCTAACTGCCAAGATGCTGGCGTCAAACATAAATGTTGGTTTGGGTTGTCTCGAGTAGATGACACCCGATTTTCTTCGTGCTTGCAAGTCTTGCTGGAAGAAGGCATTGACATTAACGTGCAAGATCCACAAGGTCTTACACTGTATTTGCATTGCCTCTGGTATCCAGCAAAACTCTCCGTCCTCGAAAAGCACAAAGCGAGGGTAGACATTGCTGATAATCTAGGCAATAACGCACTACACTATGTCGTTAGGCAATCGAGTATCTCGCGCATAGAATACTTCACAAAGAGGGGACTGGATCCTCTCAGTGTGAATATCGATGGCAACACGCTGATTCATTTGGCGACTTTGAGTTATGGATACGACATTATTTCTTCTGGAGGGAATAGCAACCCGGTTGGGTTCTTCGAATACCTTGTCAATCTTGGAATATCTGTCAACGCTGTCAATAGAGATGGACAAACAGCTCTGCACCTCTACGAGAGCCGCGATGACCACAAATCACGAAAAGCGAATTTTATAGACGCCCTCAACTATAAAGGCGATGTCAAGCTTGAACTCAAAGACAGGAATGGCTTGACTGCTCTTCATCTGGCCAGCATGAGATCTGTGTTCGAATTCAACAAGTTAGTGGAATGTGGTGCTGATTGGACCGTCCTTACCAACGACTCCCAAAATATTTGGCATCTAATTTGCCGTGCTCGAAAACCCGAGATTCTTGGCCAACTACTGGAGAGATTGACCACATCCGGGATAGAGCAGCGAGACCGGTTTGGTAAGACACCTCTCTACTATGCCTGCAGCTCCGGGGAACCAGAATCTGTTGCGCTTCTTCTCAACAAAGGTGCCAAAGTCAGAGTGACCGATTTGGGAGGCGAAACTCCTCTGCACGCCTGTGCTCATTCCAGAGTAGAACAGAACATATGGGATACGCAAGGCCAGCGCTTCTTTAAAGGCAGGCAAGGTCCACCCAAAGACATGTTCCGCCCAGGCTCCTCTCAAAGACCGTATATTTCTAGTCCTTGGTATCAAAGCATATTTAACGATAGTAAGGCGGTATCTCGAAGGAATTTCTTCCCTTCCGTCATAACGATCATAAAGATGCTCCGAGAAGCAGGCGTTGATGTTGGCGCTGTCAATGAATCTGGGTATACGGCATTGGACGCTGCCCTTCATCTCGGGTGTGCAGAGTTTATCGAAGTATTTTCCCGAGATGAGGATTTACTCGCGCAAGCAACAAAGTATCTAGATGATGGCCGAGATGGGAGAGCAAACCCAGATGAGGCTCGCCGAAGAATGCGAGCCCAAATGATTCTAATGCAGCAAAGGTCGGCTTTGGATACTCTCGGAAAGGACAAAACACTTCTAGATGAAGTTGCTAATAATCCCACCCGATATCTCAACCTCGTTTCCTATGAAGACCTGGCAGCCATACTCAAGGAGGGCTTCGAGGCCAACAGTCTAAACCCAATCTATCATAAGTTTATCAACGAGGTGATAAATTCGGAAAATCTCGAGGCCCTGGAGCGAATTCCGGTGCTCGTCAAGCATTATGGCCTGTTTTCTTCTCTCAAGGAAATGGTTCAGGGAACCGAGTTGACTCGAGCATATTTCTCTGATTCGCCTGCTCTCACCACGCTCCAGATGGCGTGCAAGCGTTCGAAAATCAGTCTGGTTGCAGTCAAACTACTCGTTGAGGGGTTTCAGCTTGACCCAGATGCGCACTCAGCCGTCTCTTTTCGCGTAAATGGTGGAGGCTCAGTACATGTCACCGAGGGCGGGACAGCGCTTCACATCCTCGCATCGGCAGATGAATGGTGGCACCTAGAGGCAATCAAATATCTGATTTCCAAAGGAGCCGATGTGAAGGCAAAGGATGAAAAGGGCTGTACGCCTCTTCATCTGGCCTCCAAGGGAGAGTACGTCGATAATCATGCTACGAAAGGTTCATATCGGTTGGACGCGGTTAGTATTCTCCTGGACCATGGCGCGGACCCAAATGCCCTGGATAACAGCGGGCTATCGCCACTTCACAAGGCATCTGTTGCTCCCAGCATAATGCAGGAGTTGCTGCAACGGGGGGCAGACCCCAAAATAGGGTCTCTCAGCCCTTTATTCATGGCAATAAAAGATGCGAATTTTCCGGCGTTTGAGATGCTCCTCGATCAAGGACTGAGCGTGGATTCCCTCGATGAAGTCCGGCACAGCCGCGATGTGCATTATTCAATGAAAGAGTCGCGGAAGTTATATGCACTGGTGTGCTGTGCGTTTTCCGATGGCTTCAACAATGAGATCCTCGAGTCTGTACCGCTGTTATGTTCCCTCGTGAAACGCGGAGCAAACCTTTATTTGCCACTGAGCGATAACGAAACGTTGATTCACTTTCTCTTCGAGTTTCCACAGTATCCGATTCTGGACGCTTTGCTCTCAGAGGAATGCAAGGCCAGGATTGATTTCGACTATCGAGATCAACAGGGGCGCACAGTGTTAATGGCCGCGTGTGACTGGTTTGGAAGCTTGCCTCGAGGCGGACGCAAAGACCCTAAAAAGGATCCCTTTTTGACAGGACCTCCCCTTCGTATCCTCGATTGCGGCGCCGATGCTACGCTCGTTGATAACGTAGGCATGACTGCCCTTCACCATTTGCTAGCTAATAACGACATGGTGGATGATGTTCTCGTCGAGTTCATCAACCGGGACGAGGTTGCCCCTACATTATTTCTCAAAGACAAGCAGGGGCTCTCACCTTTCCACTATGCCCTGCGCACGCTGCGTCCGAGGATCTGCGAGCTTCTTCTTTCAAAGGGCGCGGACATTAGCGAGGCCGATCCAAATGGCCTGACGGTGCTGCATCATATTGCAAACCAGCGATCGAGCCTGCAGCGCAGATCACGTCGCTTCGGCGGCTCAAACAGTAACCTGCCCGCTGACTATTTCGAAGGATGCTTGTCTCTTTGGGAGAGATACATTGGTCAAGGCGGCTCAATCAACGCTGTAGACAACGGCGGCAACACCCCTCTGCATCTCTACCTCTTGTCATCGGTATCTGGCCAGCGCCCTGAAAACAGGCTCACATTCCACCTTGATTATTACGATGAGTTCTTTCCTCCAGATAGCGGCGTTGACGTATTTGCCTCGAATAATGACGGTGAGACGATGCTCCATCTCATAGCCAGACGGCAGAAAGAGTATTTCACGGAACCTGGCTATGACAAAGCCTTGTTTGAGCAGATGATGGCAAAGGGGCTGGACCCTCTGAAGGAAGATGCGCAAGGGAGGAGTGCGTTGGATGTTGCGAGTGCTTTCGAAAAGGACGACATTGTTGGGCTTCTAGGAAGGGCTCAGAGGGGATGAAATAGCAAGACGTGATTTAGCTGCATTTGTAATTCTGAATTCTTGGGAAGATAGACTGTTATTGTGATTGTGCCTTTACTACGGAAGGGAAGTATTGAAAGCTTCTTCTCCAAATGGCAAACTGACATGCAACTCACTCAGTCGCTGGGACCTGGGTGACATGGTATGTCACCAGAGCCCCCTACGAGGCTATCATATCACGAGATCGTGTGGGATTTATTTTTAGCAGTTTGTTTTTTTGCTGTATTTGGAAGTCTATAAAAAATCATTATTTTCTCGACGTTATTAATGATATTTGATCTTTCGAAACAAACAAAGACTTCGACCTTCTGCAACCATCTTGACACAACAAGACAGTTTGTTGACCCACGGGATGACGAAATAACGTTCGTGTGCATCCTACTCCCCCTTGTATCTCCACGTCGCCCGGCGATGAATGCCAATATCCCCAGAGAGGGTAGCTAGAATCATACCATACAGCCCTCCAATAGGCCACGTGCTCAGCCAAGATTTGCTCCACTGGTTGGGATTCTTCCATCTAGCTTGGGGCTCGACCTTCACCTTGTCATATATGGTTGGCAGAGTCGCAGCAAAGTACTTTTCTCTCAGGGCTTCGTACCACGGCCGATCATACTCGGCCCAGAACTCATCATCGGTGTAGTACGTGTGAGCATAGAGCCACTTGCGGCCACCCAGAGCCTTCAAAGTGCTCTCCAGCTGGCGGTTTTTAGCGACAAAGGTCTCGTATTCTCGAGGGCCCCACCCCCAAACCCCAATGTTCAGCATCGGCTGTGACATGTTGGCTGTCCCGGATGGTTCTTTCTCTCCGCCCACTGACCGCTGTGGCCTGGTGGCGGGGTGAAAAGATGGGAGTGGGCATTTCCGAAGAGGACATAACCAGAGGGGCCAAATGCCTAATCCTCGGTCAGCCCAGTCTATGAAACCGTCGGCTGTCTCATACGGCAAGGCAAGATCCTGAACCACGAACTGTGACGAAACCCCACTTGCATGCAGCGCATGATAGAGTGTTCGGGTGTGAGAGTAATCGTCAAGCAGCCAGCGGAAGAACTTGGTGAATGGGATCACTTTGAAATAGGCGTAGCCTTGTCGGCCAACCCAAAAGGCAGCTCTATCATACCGGAAGAGATATTCGCCCAAGGGAATGTACTCGACGATGGTGGCTGCTAACGCCAGATCTCTGGTTTTATCGGAAACGTGCATGTAGAACCACGGATCGTGAGCATTGCTAAAAGTCCGCAGAGTGCCTCCGACAGGCATTGTATCGGTCAACTGGCCAGTAATGATAACGCCGTGCTCCTTGGAAAACATGATGGCATCCACATGATCGACATTGGGGTTTTCCGTTTGTGACTGAACCTCTGCAACGGCGTCTGAAACCCTAGTGACTTTTTCATATGTTGTCTTGACCAGCTTCTTGGCCTCGACAAGACGGATTTCCATGAGGGTCACGATACCAAGGGTGCCAGCCGCCCCTGCAGCTCCGTGAAAGAGGTCCTGTCGCTCTTGGCGAGATGCCCACACGACATCTCCATTCCCGAGAATCATCTCCACAGAGTTGACAGTGTCGTTGAAAAACCCATGGCGGAATGAGCTGCTTTCCCCGGATGTTCCGGAAAACCCTCCCCCGGCCGTAATGCCTGGGAACTCCATCACCACAGGAGGCACGAGGCCATGGACGAGAGTTGCCTCGACGAGACGATCCATGGGAACATTGGGCTCTATCAGGGCGACGTGGTTCTCCGCATCCACTTGCAGTACATTGCGCAGCATGCTGATGTCGACCACGTTTTGCTGTGCTCCGTGCCGAGGGCGAGTGCTATTGGAGGAGCCGTGGAAGACGCGATACGATTCTCCAATCGCAAAGAACTGTCGGACATCTAACGCAATATCGTGAACGTGTTTAGAGTGGTTCTCCATCGTCGGAGGTATCCAATATTAGACAGAGAAATTGGTGGCTCTCTAGGTGTGGGATGACGACTTAAAGGTCCTTATTAACTTGGTTATATTGAAAAACTCTGTCACTTATTATAATGCAAGAGAAGCTGAACCTTTATCGCACTGTGAACTGGCTATTCTTGGCACTATCATATAGCTAGCACATTTGACCCCGAAATTTAGTACCTAGGGTAAATTACTAGTATTTGGCAAGCTCATTTCGGGATTTCTCTTCCCCTGTTGCCTCAACACAAACACAAAAAAGAGGCCAAAGCGGGTGGCTGGCTTAGCCATGGAGTTCGGCCTGGCTGGGTTGCGATACGAGGGGCTGAATATCGAGAAGAAAAAAAGTCATTCTAAGCCAAAGTTATGCATGTATCACCGACCAAGCAAGTCGGACCGCTTACCGAGCGAAGGATTTTACCAAGAGGCGAGAGGAGCTAGCCTAGTTCTCACGTTATGATGGTTCTCGACTTCTTATTACATGGCATATCTGTGAACCAAGCAGGTCTCGGGTGGTGGGATTCATGCTGGGGACTGGTTGGTAGGACCATATATTTGATAACCCCATATGGAAGTATTGATTAGAATAGAAAAATGTGCAGATTCCCCTTTGAGAGCCGAAAGTCAGCCATCGCCTATGGTGAAGATCTATCTCGGGCTCGAGGGTGCTCTATCTACCTCTTGAATCTGTATGTCGACTGATTAGCTACAGCCCCTGGTATGCATGGGCCTAGAGCTTCATCAAACCAGAGGTGACGGTTTGTATTTCTAATGTAACAATCTGATGTGGACCGTCTGATTGTTCTATCTGTGTTCATGGATGGCCAGATTACATGCCCCTTCGGCTCCTTACCAGATACCAGGTACGAATCGCCAGGGCACTCTTCTGCAATATTCGGTCCAGGCTGAGCCATATTTGACAGAACATCGCTTCTCGTCCCGCATGCATCGATGGACAAGTAGCAGCGTCATCCAAATAGCATAGGTCCACACCACCAACTTCGTACTGCCTACCAGAGCACAGGAGCTGTAGCTGAGAAACAAGTCCCCCACGTAATTCGCGTGTCTCGACCAGCCCCACCATCCACTGCAAACCAGCAGGCTCTTGTGCTCCTTTCCATCCGAGGTCGTGTATGTGGCCTCGATGTACTCCACGGGCCTCCCCCAAATTTGGCATCGGCCCCCGCTGCTACGGACCTTGTCCTTTTGGTTGTTGGCGGAGCGGAAAAGCACATACCCTGCTAGGCCAACAATGAAGGCGACGGCCAGGTAGCCGGTCGATGACGATGAAGGGTACATTCCCAGATACTGGCCCTGGATCGTATACGTCGTAGGCAGGAAGCAGAAACAGCCCCAGGCGAGGTAAAACCCATAGTGGTCATGAGCAATATCAATTGTACGTAGATACCAAGACTCGTTGATGAAGAAGTCCACCACATATAGGGTTTGGAGGATGGAGACGAGCACCAGAGACGGCTCGACGTGCCCCTGCGTCTGGTGCTGGTACGCGAGGTTGGAAAAATCACTGTGAGAGGAAACAAGGAGACCAGCATGTTAGTGTTGCGTGAGAGCACCGAGCTGGGGCCAAGACTTACATGAGAGTCCAGAGGATCATCCCCGGGCGCCCGTTACTGAAAAGCTTCAGATCAAATGCATCGCCGATCCGAGGGTTTAGCTCGATTCCCATGAAATAGTCATAAATAAACGAACCTAAATTCAAAAGTCAGTAACGGTATGCTCTTGTGGAATCTTCTAGTGGCAGCATACCGCTGAATTTTCGGTCGTCTACGTGCGTTGGGCTCACGTAGGCCTTGGCAAATGCGAGAGCAGAAATGAGCAGACCGGCCACATTCAGCGCCGCGATCAGACTGCTCCAGTTGCGCGGGATGAAGCCAGGGTCCAAGAGATGATTCCAACAGAGGACAAAGTACAAAACGTGAGTCAGGACCCACGCATAGAGGCCATTGATGCGGTAGGTGAGCAGGTGTCCGGCTGGAGTGTACTGCCCAGTCTGCAAGTGGCCGGGCAGATAGACGAAAAGGAGAGCCTGGAAGCTGACCCAGCAAACGACCGCAAATGTGCCCTTGAAGGTCAGCTGCGGTCCGTACTTCCAGCAGATGACCCAGAATCCTTGATCGGCCACGGCAGCGCCGAACGAGGCGTACGACCCTTCGAATGCAGCGAGAGTGATGAAGGTCGAGATGGAAGCGAGTGGCGCCAGGACAACCGGAGTCGAGGCAATCAAGGAGCCGAACCAGGATCTGCCACCGCCGGTGCGACCCCAAACCTCGCCATTGCTTCGGGGAGGGACCGGGTCGCATCTCTGCACAAGAGACGTGGCTGCCTGGCGCTTCCTCAATGAGGAAGCCGTCGTCGCTGATGTCACAGCACCATTTTCGGTGCTCGCGGCCATGGTTACGTCTAGAGAGGTCGTGGGAAGTCTTCGAGTCGGGTTGCGAAGCCTTTACCCGGTTCAAGACAGGTAAACAAGGCTAGATGTTGGACGAAAACACGGGCATCGTTCCTGGAACGGATTGTGATGGAGGTGAGGTGAGACTCGACTCTGCCGCTGCATCAATTTCTCGCGGCAGGTACCACCACCGTAGGCTGCCTTCCCTTAGGTACCTCTAGGCAAGAGGGAGACGAAGGCTCTGCTGATGAAGCAGGCTCAATGCGCTTAGTCTCTTCGAGCTACGCCAAAGTCTCAGATTCGCGCGCCCTCGGGCATCAATCTCCCCGTCAGCGAGACAGAGAGACGCCTGTAGCCACCCCAAATGTGCGTCTGTCTCAGCTAGCCACCATCTTATGGAGAGCACCGCAGAGATTTTCGACAGGCAACCACTGGGCAGTAGACACACATGATGACGCACGGAGGCTGCCGACATAATGTTCCGACAAGACGGAGTACCGATCACGCCAACTAACGACGCAACAATACAGCGGGGTGCTACCCAGCCTTGAGGAGCAGGATCTAATTCTCGTGATGATATAATGGCCGTTCAGGGATCCACGTGCCCGAAGGTTACATACCCAAGGCTGACGATGGCGTTTTCGTGCGTCGTGGCCAATCTCACCCACTTCTACAGGTCTAATTACCTGATCGGCATGTCTTGGATGACAATTAGCAACTGGTTTTGCAGACCGAGACTGTCGCTCTCAGGCCCGAGTTTCCTATATTGTTGAGGAATGGCGAAGTGGGATCTGGGGCAGAGGATGTTCTGAAGCATACCCATTCTGAGACTTCACCTAACCTAATCCCCCCTAGCCAGTCTCATTATGAACAGTGCTGAGTTTTACACGTCTATGAAGATGCTAGACATGGAGGTATATGGTCTGCTCTCTGCTGCCTTCGTTGGCCTTGTCCTTGTTGCCGCCACGTCTCTCGTCCTTCGATATGGACAAACCCCGTCTACCGGGCCGTGGCTGCCCCCAACCATCATGCTGGAAGCTGCCTTCGCAGCAGACCGGTATTCCTCCTCCATAGTATCCTCGCTCATTCGGTAAGTTTTGCTCCGAGTGCTCCCTCAAAATAGGTGGGACTAATCAGCCCATAGCTTCACGCTGCGTCGTTTGCACGCACTACTCTCTATCCACCACGAGATCGTGCCCGACGTTTCTCAAGTCGAGAAGGTCTTCTTCAAGCAAAATGACGCATTCGACGTCCACCCAATGGGCTCCTCGATGCTACGACGAATCTTTGGGTGCGATTTCAAAGGCATCGCCCGAGATAAATATGTCGAGATGGTTGATGGCTTCATGAAAATTGTCGCGCGAGATTTTCTCAATGAGTCCGCCGTCATAGCCACTCTTCATCGGGGCGATATTGGGAGCAAAGTGTCTTCGCTGATTAGTTTCTCTGAAGATCCTCATCTCCAGAATCCTTAGCAACAACTCGCAAACACGAAAATGCTTCCCCTAGATCCCGCATACCCAGGGCATGTCGTGGAGGCCGATCTCGAGAGCCTCTTGAGAGGGCTGAGCTTCCACATTTCCATCCCACTACTGTATGGAAATGACTATCTTGAGCGGAATCCCTCGGCACTGTGGGATTGGGACTGCTTTGGAGAGCAGACTGCGCTCCTCGCGCTCGGTGTTCCTACATGGGTGCCAATCCCCTCGTTCCAACGTGGGATCGCAGCCAGAGACATGCTGGTTGGCTCGATTTCTGCTGTTTACCGTCGTACGAAGCAATACAACAACGGCGAGGCCGTCGACCACGGCGCCGATGTGACTGATGTGAGTGAAACTGCATTAGACAGATACAAGGAGTACGATCGCCACGGTCTTTCGATTGAACATATTGGCCACATTGAGTTTTCTCTCCTCTGGGCACAAAATAAAAACACGCAGCAGCTGCTGTTTTGGTACATATTCTATATATACTCCGTTCCCGGTCTGCTAGATTCTCTGCGGCAAGAACTTACGTCCTCCGGGGCATTGTTAATATCGGCCGATGACCCTCCTCGGATAACCAAGCTGGACATTGGTGCGCTAGGGAAGCAATGCCCACTCCTGAAGTCAACCTTTCTTGAATCATTTCGGGTCACAGAGGAATCCATCTTGTTTCGGCGAGTTACGGAGAAACTAACACTAGATGACGGCAAGGACCAGTATCAGCTACGCCCGGGATCCTGGCTATCAGTATCCACGGCCCTTACTAGGCACGATTCTTCGATTTACCCCCGGCCTCTTGAATTCCTCCCGGACAGATTCGTAGAAGCAAGCACAGCGAGTTACAAGACTCTGAGACCATGGGGCTTGGGCCTGACCATGTGCAAAGGTCGCACCTTCGCAGAGAAGAAAGTTCTGGCTATCGCAGCTAGCATGATCGCATTGTGTGACATTGAGCAGGCAGGGGGGGAATGGCAACACCCTGGCTTTCGGACTGGTGCCACCATCCTGGCTCCCGCCTCAAAACTACGCGTACGCATTAAGCGACGACGTAGGTTTGACTAAGGGCTCAAGTGTATAAGTCAAAAGAACAATCCCACGAATTTTCTCATGTACTAGTTCAGACAGGTTTACAGAGGGTGGTTCTCGTGAATGTATTACGCTTAACCATCTCCCTAATTTAGATGTTCCTTAGTACTAGCTTATTTATAGGGTAAATAAAAAGAAAAGAAAAGAAAAGAAAAGAAAGAAAGAAAAATATTAGCCCTGAAAGCTTCATTAAATGTTCCCGCAAAGATCTTAAGTTCGTCAAGGCAGAGACAAAGTTAGCTCATGGCGGTGACTTCCTTCCTTGATCCGCTATTGGGGACAATAAATGCCTACCTAGAAGCCCTGGTGCTGGCGATTTGTACAACATGGGAAAGAGATAAATTGGAGAAGGAAGTAGCATAGTCTTTGATCAGACAAAGATGTGTCCGGGAAGGACAAAGGTTAAATAATAGTCTAGATCGGAAAGGTATTAGTTCAGCCTAAGGATTCCATTCCAGGAAACAGTTTCTCTCCTTCGAGGATACGTAGTCAGATCCCCTCTCAGTAGGTGGATGGAAGGATCTAGGAGCGTTGACCTTAAAATTCAAACGGTCCAATTTAAATTGGCCAAACAATTGGAATCTACCTACCAATGTTTGTAGAGGTCATTTGGAACCATCCTCCAACAGATAGAGCCTGAAGCTCTCTCACCTGTTGTTCTTGGTCAAGGTCTTCAAAACGCTCACCCTTACCAAGCTCCTTGACTGGGGCTACCTTAGCGTGTCCAAAAAGCTTTACATCCTTTGTATTGAGCTTGGGCTTTAGAGCTTGTGTCTAAGTAATCCCTTTTCCTCTCAGAGAAGGCGCCGAGATCTTGTGCTGTGCAACCCTTGTCGTCAGGACAAACAGCGCCAAGTGCTCTGGCCAAGGGGCTGCCAGTGCTCAATTGGTTTCTTTGAGCTTGTGCTCAGATTAGTGTAACAGAAGATGAGCGTGAAACTGTGTGTGAGATAGCTAAGAAGATGAAAGAGGGGAAGATATCAGGCTAGTAGAGCTTATTTTTGCCCTTTGCATGTATTCATTGTGCTGAGATATTAGGTCTGGCATCTTCTATTCCTATTTTTTACAGTGTACTCGAACTCTAACCCCATGAAACTAACTTCTTTCTCAAAAGTCACATTTGTTCATTCTGGGCCTCTTTGTTCGATGCTGAAAACCTCCTAACTTTGGATGACGTGTCGAATGGTGAAGCTATTGCAATACAACCGATGTGCGGAGCGCTGAGAACCGCTTCTGTGAACCTTTATTTTGTTAAATTCTGTATGGCCCTGGCTCGACCTTTGAAGGTTAGATTGATAGATTGTGAACTTCACTACGGTAGTTTAGGTACAAACCCCCTTTAACCTTCATATTCTCGTTTCAAATTATCCTTAGTGAATTTAGGCAGACAATCAAGGAACATGAGTTTACTAGAATGCCAAATTAGATACTATACATAGGTTCTCACTTGTTTTCGGCACCGACAAGCTTGTACTTTCCACGATTTAACAAAGAAAGGAAGGGTAGAGGGTAAAGGAGAAAGGGTGGAAGAAGATACACATGCCTTCTTTTTTCATTTCTCCGGACCATAATCATAAGAATAGTACGGTCATTTCATAAATAGAGAAACATTCCGTAGAAATTCAATGGCTTACAGCTGGCTACTACAACAACCAACATTCGAAAACGAGCTTTAGAGCATCCCGACTCTTCAGTATTTTCAGATCAAAATGGAAACCGATCCCGATTATTTAAAAAAAATGATACTGCGAAAAGAGAGGATATTGCGATCGAGAGAGGATTTACGCAAGCAAGAAGAATGGGAAAGATACGAATGGAGGTGTATACGCTGTGAACAAAGCCTCACTCATATACATTTCGATAATGATGCTCTCATGCCGTATCTTGAGAATCCTCTTTCAGATCAACCCTCTATCCCCCCCCATGCCTTGCGATCTGAAGAAGATTCTTCTCCGACTGCGAAGGGTCGGCAAGATACAGAATGTCATCAGCTCCTCTGCAACGAGTGCAAGTACGACATCGACATTAACGACGACCCAACAAGAGAATGGAATGTTCAGCCTCACTCCCCTATCCGTTCAAGCCGATACCTCAAATATGACTCTTTCCTGTACCGATATTTCCCGAGCCTAGCAGACACGTCGAGTAGGGAGAAATTTACTGATCTTGACCCCCCCCGATATTGGCCCACATACATGGTACGCTGCGCTACGTGCAAAAAATGGAAGGAGATCAGGCACTACTTGAATGAGGCGGATCCTGACCCTCCCCGAAAGGAATTACTTTCTACTGGATGTATTGATCTCACAAAAGTTCCCTTCTTTCATTGGCCTTGTTCGCAACGTATTGATCTCCCAACACGTCCCTTCCTTCATAGCTATATTACCTGCGATCAGTGCACCGACGTACAAGAACGTTATTTGTCCATGCGCTTGAATTTGGATCCGATATGGGACCAGTTGGATCTCTTAGATGACTGGGGATCTGACAACTGGCCTGAAGTATTTGGTAAAAGGAAATCTATTGACAAGGAGAAACCCATTGACAAGGAGAAGCCTATTAATAAGGAGAAACCTATTAGTAAGGAGAAACCTATTTACAGGGAGGAACCTATTCAAAAACAGAAATTTTGCGATCATGTTCAGAGTGTCCTAGAAGATCTCAAGAAAAGCAGAGGAAAAAGCGGCTTGGATAGGGAGTGCTCTCGTGAGGAAGGATCCAAAAACCTTCAATCCAAAATGGCTGTACAGAATGAAGAAAAAGGATCTCTTGATAGCAGAGACAGGGTTCAAGACATAGAGGCTCGTCTAGACTACTACATCTGGCTGTGGAGAGCTACTGAGATAGTTCGTCGCATATAGATCAGGCAAGGCTAATAGATGACTTCCTTATTATACAAATGCTGTAGCCAACGTCGCCTTCGTTTATGGCGACGTGGGTGAAGACTGGCCTCTTAGCACCTGGCTTCAGGGATGAAGAAGGTAATTACCTCGAATCAATCAAATTCATATGAAAAACCCCGTCGCTTAAGAAAACATTCACACTAAGATACCGAGAGCTCCCATTATATTCGATTCATCTGTGTTATGTTTACGGGAGTCCCTTCTCTTCCCGAATGAATCAGCCATTCCACCGACAGGTTGATCGATGTGCCTCCTTGATAATAAAAGCAGAAAGCACTGGGGGTGTATGAAGTCTTTTTGTGCGTCCCAAGTTTCCTTATTCAACACTACCGATCTTGAAACATTTTAAATGAAATCGAACTGATCAGTTCACAGCATTATTTGTATTTTCTTTTCTTGCCATAAGCAAGCGGTATGATATCCCAAAATCAGGCAACTCAAAGTAATAATATTATATAGATGCATGCATATGTGTGTGAAGTTAATATCATTTTCTTCTAAATGTTTCATTTCAAGGAAATGGTCTTTTTAGATTTCTTAAGGCGCAAGATTTGAAACATTTTCCACGTGATCATCTCAGCGCAGCGTGTGCGCCAAGTCCCGCTCCTACAGTTGACTTCTAAATAAGTAGCCAAACAAGAATAAAATGAGAGATAAGATGATGAGGTAAAAAGGAAGAGTAAAGAAAAGACAAAGTAAAATAAAACTGTTTAACCAAAAAGTAAAAGAGAGTAAAGAAATTAGGAGGAAAATGGGATCAGACCAGTTGTTGTTACACTTCAAGGGAAGAGAAAAAAGCAACTAGAAATAATACCATTCTCACTATGTACGATCTTCAAAGGGTCATTTTGGGCCAAGGTCTTCGAAGCCAAAGTAAGTTAGACTGTTGCTTTATCAAAGCCGGGTGGATCTTCTCCATACGTTCCTTACAGGCTCTTGAGCAGTCATGACCACATCCATATGCCAATATTCGCGCGGCGAGATCCAGTGGGCTTTCTGAGGCCGAATCTCGATAATCGAAATGGGTGATTTCTGTGAAAATTGTCGGGATGTCCTCTGGTTTGATCTTGTGATTGATAACAACCAAGTGGAAGCCACTTCTACCACGATGGTCGCAGAGGCCCATGACGCCGAAACCCGTCATGGAAGTCAAGTCACGAGCTTCGCGATAGCGTGCGTAATAATGGACAAGCTCAGGAGCACGATCGTTGAGTCTGAATAAACTTGTCCGACCCAATTCTCTCAAGTAATCCAGCACACCGCCTCTCCCCCATGCAACTGCATGATGCAACGGTGTGAGTCCTTTCGAATCAGACACGTTGAAACCTTCAACTAGACTGCTGAGCAACTTGTCTACCACAGCCACTTCAGGGCAATGGCATGCTATATGTAATGGCGTTCGTCCAAGAAGATCAGGTATGTTGAGTTTGGCCCCGAAATCACACAACCTTCTCACCAGCTTGAACCTGCGACTGTGATCTCTTTGGATGGCGTAATGGATGGCCGTCCGCCCGAATATATCCACAGCGTCAATGTCATCCAAATTATGCTTGATCACCTCTGTGATCTTCTCTTCGCTCAGGTCTTCTCCGTTGAAGCAGAAAAGTTGGAGAGGAGTCAGGTGGTTGTGTGGTGACACAGGGTTTGGAGTGTTTCCTGAGTGCTCGGATATCGGTTCCAGTCCCAGCTGTCCAGATGTAGAATTGAACGTGCTAGAGAAATGAGTATCATGGGATTCTGAAACACTCACCATTCTCTTTATCACTTTCCAACCAGGATCTCCAAGGTAGCTTCGTGTTATCTTTATAACAGATGTCAAGGTACCCGTAATGATAGGACCAGCTTTCCAGTCTGGTTCGTGATCCAAATGCATATGTTCCAGGCCATCGATCAATACCGAAGCTACTGTGATGAAAAGTTCTTTTTGCGAGGGAAGTTTGAGAAGATTTCCGAAAAGCCAGATGTAAACACTAAAATCGGTATCCTGAGGTTCCTTTCGCTCGTAAGCATCGTGGTACTCTCTAGCCGCTTTGAGAATTGCCCGAGCACTTGGTAGCTTATTTGCTGCCAATAGCGGTAGCAAAAGCGCAGGGAACACTATGCCCTGTTCTCCAAGTCCCGCAAGAGAGATTTTGGAAGAAATCTCTCGAAGATGGGAATTCTCAACGGCAAACCGAGTCTGCCGTAAGCCCTTGGAAGGTGCTCTACCGGGTGCGGCCACCACGTTAGTGTCACCACCTATCGGCTTCTTCAAAGTTTTGGCCAATGACCACATGAACAAACAGAACAAGTGCTGTGCATGGCTAGTCTGAAGCGACCCCTCCGGCTCTTCCACAAGAGTCTTCACTTCACCCAAAGTGCCGAAGTCCTCGTCTGGCAAGCTCGATGAGGACGATTCTGATGGTCTTCTGTATGAGGATTGTGCGGGTGATGTAGATGATCTTCTTTGTGAAGGCTCTGATGAGTGAATGCCGTGTTTGAGAGCGACTAGCCCGAATTGACGGGTATCACGAAAAGGCTCATTGAACCACAGGTTGATCTCTTGGGATAGAGCGGGGAGGGGGTTTCCTTCTGATGGCATTGGAAGAAGCGAGGGGCTTTTTTGGGAATACTTTCGTAGCCACTCATCTTCCTGACCAACGCTTGCGTGTCCAGCAGGTGCCCCAGTTGAGATGCTTTCGCCAACAGGTACCGCTTCGGCTGCCGGCTGTCTTCCTCGGGCCTTGCCCCCGCAGCTCGTCTTGAACAGCCAAAGCGAAAGTATCGCCTCCAGATCTCCGGCTGGTACTTTCCATTTCCCGTCAGCATCGAGATTTAAACGAATCTCGACCACGTCGTCTGGGTGGCCCCCGATCTTCCACAGAAGACTACGGCAGCCATGTTCCAAGTAACCTTCACCCGAGTCAGTGAGGGTGTTTAGCGTACCCTCTATGGCTCGAGCAACGGAGACAGCCAGCGTCGTCAACGGAGGGGGTATGGCTCCAGCTCCGGCGATACCTTTCCTAAGGTTCAAGACTTCTTGGGCCTTGGAAAGCCGAGCGTTGGGATCCAGCGGAGCGTCGGGGAGAAGTGGCAGACATTTCTGGAGATCCTCCCAGCTAGGGGCTTTCCAGTCCCAGCCACCGTTAGCAGCCCATGGACGATCAGAGCTATCTGACTCTTCATTTGCCTCGAGCCTTTTCGACCATGGCGCATCTTGAAGGCCTTTGGCCATGATCATCGAAAGCCAATCCATCTCAAAGCCAGATATGAGAGGCCTTGCACTTGGACGGTTTGCAAGATGGGCGTTGACAGCATATCTAACGCAAGTCATCCAGAGTAGGCCGACCATGTGCACCAATTGCAATATGGGATGCATGGCGCGCAGCCCTATCAACTGCAGAATGAATGCAGCAACGCATAAAGCGCTCGACAAGTCACAATATCTTTTCAGCGACACGCTAATCTCCCGCCTCTCAGTGGTGATGATGTAGTCTTTTGACTCGTTTGGAAAGATGACATGGGGGAAGAAGTGTTGGTAGTTGATGGTTGACTGGCTTTGGAGCCAAACTGGACGGTCGAGCTGCCATCCAGGAGCTGGGCGGTAGACAACCATGGCTGTACTCCTAAGTACGATGGACCCGAGCATGAGCGAGCAAAAAAACATCCCAAAGGAGCCGATTCCGAATACCACCTTCGTCCAAGTTGGTATCTCTTGGCCATTTTTCACCCCCCAATCAGGTCGCAGGTGGAGAAGCACCCAGGGGCAAATCAAGCCAAGGAAAAAACCAGCAAGGGCCAAAAATGCCATCAACGTCCCACGCTTGGGGTAGAAGTGTTCCTGGATGTTCAGGCTTAGATTGGGTGACTTGTTCTTGTCATTCTTTATCAAAATCACGCCAGCATCATCGTGAGGTATGTGAGAATTGCCGGGAGCCCTGGGGGTAACATCGTGAAGGGATACAGTGTTGTGCTCAACGTCTGATGCTGAACGAGAACGACCGGTGTAAAAGCTGATGACGGAATTCAGTCCGAGGGAAGGCAGATTCATTGATGCCAGACAACGAGTCAAAGAATTGAAGGTGGACTTGAGGATTTGGTACGACTTCCCAGGAAGCGTTGGCACTAGCAGCGATGTTAGATCGGCCTGGGTAGAGAAGGGGAGCAGGTATGTAGGGGAACTAACCGTCTCCGACCTCAATGTAAGTTCCCACGCTTTCGGAGAGCTTCTTCGCGACAATACGATCCGTAGAAGTTGCACCGACGCGCTTCAACACGAAATACTCTTGAGTCTTTCCCTCTCCAATCGTGCGCACGACCCTCTGTCCGTCCCAGGACTCCGACACCTCATTAGAAGTAGACGGAGTCAGTTCTGACTCGACCACGGGACGGCTCTCCCTCGGCCTTCCAATGAAATTCCTCGTGGTCTGGCTGCCCGCAAGGCGAATTGCACCCATGATGAGTGCCGGGACACCAATAGGACATACAGCGATTACAAAGACTTCGAAATACGTGACAGACTGACTGAGCCAGTGTAGGAGCATTTTCTCGCCGAAAAGCGCTAAGAATCTAGAAGGAGCAAGTAACTCGTGTCAGATATTGAAGTACCTACTTGCATGGGAGACTCACGGGGCCAGGTCTGTGGCGAAGTTGTTCGAGGCGTCTTCGGTCCAGATTGCGGACGCTGGGCAAGCAACGGCCAAGAGGACCATCAAAGCGAGGAGGTTCATTCTGCCGATGTTCCAGGTGGCGTTTAACAAGAAGGAAGGATAAGGTCTAATAAGCAAACGACTTTGAATATCGAGCTGAGAAAGGTTGGATATCAAGTACCAATGGATGATTGTATGAACGAAAAGAATCTAAGAGACGTTTGGTATCCGAACCATATGGGGGTTGGAATCCCATTAATACTTCAGTGTCTCGTGGATGGGGAGATATCAGCCACCATTCAATGGAGATGAAGTTTGATAATTCCTTTTTCCATTATACAAGGGCCACGGCAACATCGCAATGGTTAACGGAACAAGAATCATATCACACCCCTCCCCAGGCGAGAAAGTAACAGATCCAGCCTTCCTCAGACGGCTGCATAATGGCCAGCCAATGACTAGGCGACCAGGTCAGGGCCACGAACCATCCTGTATCAAGCTAGCCACTCTGATGCTTCTGTTTTGTGCTACCAAGCATAGAGATCTAATGCAATTCCTTGAGATTATCCCCTATTGAACATGGCTGAGGGCGAGCCATGTGCGGTTCTATAATGCCCGGGAGAGTTAGCATAGCACATCTACAGGGTCTCTAAATATGAGGTGGGCAATAGCATCGCATACTAGGCACTACGAATAAATCTTGCAGTCGAAATAAAGAAAACGAATTGACGATAGACACCACCATGAAAACAGCTACCACATGCTACTCAATTAGCGTCGGACTTTACGACGTCTCAACAACGGCCCACAGGACAGACGGTTGTCTATTTGATCGGTTGCCTAAGCCGTATAGCTAAGTATAGATCAGACCCTAGAGCTGAAGCAGATCTTACCCATATCCATCCCACAGTAAAGTTCTCAATCTTGTTTCCCACCTCTCCATGGTCTCTGCGCACGAACGGCCCTGCGTCAGGGTTTGGAGATAACCTCTCTATTCGTTGCCGCTCTATTGTCAGCCACGAGCTGCAGGGGCCATCACACGGTGAAGGTTGGCGGGGCTACTCCGTCCAGTTCTTGTCGTAGGTTGGTTGGATATGAGAATCAAGGGGCCACTATCACGAGCCGTGATGGATTCTCTTGGCTAGCGCGAGTTCGCATGCATTAGTAGAGGTACTCAGAAGCGTTACTTTGGGGAGTGTCGTATGTTAGACAGGCCATAAACCGGTAAATGAAACAGAGCTCTCTGTCAAATTTCAAATGTTGGACAATAAAGTGGATGGTGGCGTTGGAGCCCTCTTAGTCGTAATAGACTACAGCCTCGTGCGCTATTTTGGATACAATATCATCAGCCATCACAGTCACACAGATACACCGACCGGAAAGGAGGTGGACCCCGTCACCGGCAGCCAAATAATCTATGCTGATCAAAACACGTTGAGGGTAAGTGTCTACGGACTCAACGACGGCCGAACGCAGGAGCCGTAAATACCTGTGGCAGACGCCTTTCAGCTCGGGCAAGATCCATGTCTTGGCGTTCCGTGATAACCTTACGAACAATGCAGCAGAGGCTGTTGGGGATCCGGCACGCAAGCCACATAATCCAGGTTATTAATCAAGATGAGCAGGACCACCCTAATTTCCCACCTATCATCTCTGGACGCCAGGCATCGTGACGCTCTATGACATCAATGGGGCTGGATGGATGGATGGATGGATGATGGTTCAGGTGGGCAGCCAGTAGTGTGGAAGATAGCTCAGCTCTTTCGGGGTGGCTCATCATCACGACTGGTGAGGACCATACATATCAGGAGATTTCCTAGGGAGGGACATCAGTTTCAAAAGCTGAGCGTCTACATATCTTAGTGAAAACGCAACTATCATCAAGTCATCGCGCTCTACCATGATAGATTGCCAAAGGTATTGCTGGCGTGGGCTCCTTGGGACAACCTGGGAGATATGTGGCACAAGCCTCCCAGCACAGACGCAGTGCGGGTCGTTGGGGATCTTCATACCTAGGCAGTTTCAAAACAACGCCCTGTCATGAACCACACCGCTGGGGTCGACAGGAAGCCAATCATGTACTTTGCCGAGGGGCTGGGAAGGGGCGCGGGAGCAGAGGTCAGGGGAGAATGCATGGGACGGAGGGACAGAAGCTCATTCACAGCTCAGGCTGCCAAGCTTCAATACGATGCGGAAGAGTGGCCCATTAAGGCTACAGAGGGAAACGGCCCGTTCCACAAGGAGAACTAACTGTTGGATGAAGCGATTTGGCGTGATTGTGACATGGGCGCCTTCTAGTGTCCGGCGGGTGCAAATGGCAAGCGTTCAATCCGTCTACCTGCACCCTCACGGCCGGTTTTTTTTTTTTTTTTGCGTCACTGCTGCACCAGACCGTGCGTCCAGACTCTGATATCCCGCGCTGGGTGGCTTGACGGGAGACTACAAGCGGGAATATCTGGGTCAGCTCAGGCACTGAGAATGGCCGGAGCATGCTGGACACTTTCATCAAGACAGAGCAGCCATGCAAATAATGCAAAGGTTACACGGAATCATCTTGCCTCTGGGCCGCTCAGTAGAGTCAAAAGTCTCCGAGATGGCGTTAGAAAGTGCCCGGTCATCAAAAGGGGGGGCACTGGGGTCTGTCATTGCGACCCGCGTAGATTTGCCTTCAGGGATCAGCCCTGATGTCGGGCAGCCAACTGCCGTCCTGGAGATTGGCGGACGGCGCAGGCCCTGGTAATGGGATGGCCGGCCGAGAAGAACGGTTGGCTGTTGCACACACCGTCAGCAAACCCGTATTTTCCCTTTTTTTTTTTTTTTTTTTTGTTACACCCACACGAGCAACTAGCCTCCGCCAAGACACCAGAGGGCATGACTCATTTGAATATACTGAAAGACCCTCTGCATAACATTTAACAAAAAAAGACAGGGGAAATGATAGCGACTGCGTGCACAGGTGTATTTTACCGGGAGGACGTTGGATCAGCCCTACCGCCTGACTGGGGCAGTATGTCATCAACGTAGATGGGGTGTCATCCGACGAGAGGGGAGCAGCGGCCAACGCTATAGTGCTTAGTTGGATTGGCCCGCCAGCTAGGGGCGGTCTGGCCCCAGCTGAGGCAGCGGAGCCTGGCGATCACACGTGAGGGTCGCCCACCAGCCATCAAATCTCAGTGGGAGAGAGCCAGAGAGCAGGGAGCCCATGTACCACGTTGTCTGTTGAATCTGCTCTTTCTCCAGCATCTTACCTGATGTCATGGTTGCAAGGGTATACAGCTCCCAACCACGTGCACTGCCAGAGAGCGAGTGGCCCCACAGAGCTGCTGCACAGCCAATACAGGCGAAACGATAGCTGAGAGCCACTCGGGGACTTACCAAGCACCGAAAATTGCCACGCACGCCTCTCAAGCAAGGGCGTAGACCGGAGTCTGAGGCTTTCTAATTTCCTGTCAGCTCAAGATAATGTCAAAAGTGACCAACCAATACAGCGGCCAACGAGATGATGTTTTTTTCCATTTTTTGTGGAGGCTGCTGTTTATTTTTGTCATCTCCAGAAACCTGCTCATGTGGGCCCAATAGTGGAGGTCCTGGTGGATCAGGGCGCCAGTCCGATTGTCTCCAGGGGATGGATACGGCCAAGGGCCCGCCTCACATGCGGCCAGAGCAGAGGGGACAGCCCTAGACGGTCACTATTTCCCGTCAGACTACACCTTTTCTGGTATGCTTTTTACCTTCCCCTGTGGCCAGAGTGATTTTTAATCCCCAGAATCTGGTCTCGACAGGTTTTCTTGGTATGGTCCTGGGTGTACATCAGCTCATGTTGATTGATTGACTGTGGCTCATTTGTCGCGTGAAGCCACACAGGCTCTAGCAGGCACGCGTGGTAGATTGTAGGTGCTGCTCAATCACCGTGCTGTAACATCCCAACTTGTGGAGGGCGCACACTGCAGAGAAAGGCCACCCCTTAATTGATCTTTCTTCTTGGGGCTGATGTAACTGGCACACACAGATTGCGTGACTGCCAAACCGTACCTTGCTCAAAGCTACGGGACCAGCAGCGCTCTGTTGGCAAGGTACATATCTGGGTACAGAGTGGTCTGAGGAGGAGACGCCTATAGGGTAGGCCGTGCCCAAGGCATGAGGCTCTGACTGATTTACTCCCCATTGCCCCTGCGATTCCTTTGGCGTGCTGGGAGTTGGGTTCGTCTAGGTGGCGGAAATTTGTTGCTTATCGCCAAAACATGAACGAAAGATCATTCTGCGTGCTAATCTTCGGGCACTTCCAGCGTGATCCAGATAGCATTCCCTGCCGGGCCCAGAGCTTCCCCCCATATGCTCACGGCTCAGTCACGCTCTTTCTACCGCACACACAATTCCCCAGCCATCTGAGCATCGATATGTTCAGACGCCGACCGGGAAATCTCGCTAATTCCAGACTTACACATCATGGGGAGCCCGACATCTAACCAGTAACGACATAAGCCAGCTTGCTAAATCTCGAGTGATCAACTCAGGCATGCCCCCCTTGACATGAAAAAACTACCTACCTTTCGCTCTACCCATCCCACACCTTCACCATGCCACCTGTAGACCCGGAAATAATCAAGAGCTTGTTGACACTCGTCACCCACGTATCGGCGCCACGCGTGCGGGACAACGCAATTTCTTCCCAATTGAATCGCTCAATGACCTAAACCCACCCCACTAGGTGATTAGAGAAGTGTGCTTTACATTGGCCGTTCGATGAGTTGGAGGCTGTTGATAATTGCGGGATACCTGGATAAATTATAATGGAAGGATAGATGCATCAGCCAAAGTGTCTTCCATGGCTTTCAATTAACATGTTCACAGGAAGCGCGTGAGACGAATGTTACGTGAATATCCACAGACCGAGTTCACTTGTGGGCATTGCTGTGGTTATATCTACCTTGGCTCTACTACTCATGAAGCAGCGACAGAGATCCATGTGCGACTTGGGTTTGTCATCTGCATCTCATCGGATCTACAGTATGGTCATGGTAGGTAGATCATGGATGGTGCTTCTAATTCGGCTGTGCAGAGAGGCACATTGAGCCACTCAAACCCACAGGGAAAATGCTGACGATCTGACCGTGTAGCAGATAATGCTCTGGCTAAGCGATATCGAACCTGCTTTGATATACTAGAGGTCGCCCAAGCTAAGGCATGGGGAGCCGAAATGATGCCCTCTTCATGTTCTAAAACCCCCCCCTCATCTCTCACAGAAAGAATCATACCTACGCGGAGAGCTTTCAAAATATACTCACCTTTAATAAATGGGAATTTTGCAGAAGTACAAGGACAGCTAGCAAAATATGATCAAGATATCATAGCTGTTAGAGGATGCCATTTTTTTAGTGTAACTTCCACCAATGTTGTGATGCGGGCGAAAGTAACCAAAGATTCAATTACCAAACTCTGTCAATTGATCACATATCCAGTAAGAATATTGCGCTCTTTGATCTTATTTTACAGATGGCTTTTTCGGCATCATTAGACGGTGCCTTTTCCATTCTTTTCGTTTCCTCTTCTTCGATATTTCCTCCCCAAGATAACCGAGGTGACTGCTGCACTATCACAAGCTACGTGTAGCATTGAGCACCGTTCAGATGTCCGCGCGACTGATATCGAGATGATTGGTTCTTGGAGCATTTTTAGATATATTGTGCAAGTTTAAAGATGGATGACGAGCTCTTCCTTTAAATTGAGACACACTTATGCAAAAAAGACTGAGGAGCGCACATATGGGTAGATTCTTACACAATTCCCCGATCGTTCTAGAGGTCATCGCATGTAGATTTTATTCAAATACGCCGACTTGGTGCGTTTTTCCGTTAAGCCGCCGATGCAAGCTCTGGCATTATTGAACCTGGGTCATAATTTTTATTAACCTAGAATCTTTCTTGAAAAAAAAAGGAAAGTGACAGTGAGGCGGCGTCATCTGACCGCCAAGCTCCATCGAAAGGCCCTTGCTTCGTACACAAATGTGTTCTACGAGGAACGGGCAACCCTGGCATCTCGAGCTGCCCACTCAAATGTCTTTGGATGAGACAAGAACTGCGGGCGGCCTATTTTGTACAGGCGGTCTTATCTCAGAGTAACCCCGTTGTGACCATTTCCCTTGGTCATGCATTCGACATTCCCCGCCCACGTACCGTCGATGAAACCTTGCGGTTTTTTCTTCTGGTTGATGGAGGTTATACTGTATAACTGATGGAGAATACCCTGGGCTGTGGTTTTTGCGTCAAAGTGCGCAATGGCACGCCGTAGAATAAGTATACCAAGGTGGAATGTCCATCTTTTGCCCTAGATACGGCTAGCACTCTCTAATCTTCAATCTTTCCATCAACAATTGCACATTCTAAAACGCAGAGAATGTGACCTCAGCTGAAGGCTTATTGGAGAAGCGAGAAAACTAGACTAGCTGGTCTTGGCTTCCACTGCATCGTGCCGTGCGGCGCGTATGCATGAGAACATGCATATCGACGCCTCTCGCAGGCGCCAGGAAGAGGTCCGCGAACCACCTCCTGCCACGAGACTCGGAGCTGAGGTCGGATCGCAGCTTTACCCATCAACACGGGCGAATGAGCTTGTTGATCCTCAGCCACTCGATGCACCCGTGTTTCGGTGTGGCATCCATCATCTCTCGCCCGGGGATCTCCGGCGCGTAAGTTGCTTGCTGATAAACAGAGGCACCTCCCGCCCGGCTTCTTCGCCCAACCTGGGCCATCCATCCATCCACCACACTCGCCGGCCGTATCACCCCGCAAACAACCATCCGTCACACTTGTTGTTCTCCTCCCCCGCAGCTCCCCATGAATCGTTCAGCAACGTCCAGTGGGGCTAGTTCAACCGTGCTGGCCACCCCCGGCCATCGGAAAATTCGTGTGAGGTTTGGTAAGTCGCATCTAGCTCGGTACTATCTCTCCAGCGGCTGTGTCATAACCCGGCAATAGATGGACGCGCGTTCGACATCGAAATCCAGGACACGGCCACGATCAGAGCTCTCAAGCAAAGCATCGAAGCAGAAACAAACATCCCCGTGCAAAGGCAGGTCCTCGCGGTCCTCGGACCCGGCGCCGTCAACTTCGACGATGCCATGCTCGTCAAGAATGTCATGAAGCCCCAAAGCACCATCATGCTGCAGGACTCGAGCCTGGGCAACAACCAGGGCCTCCAGGGGCATCATTACGGCGGCACCTTCTCCCTGGGCACCTTTGTCCACCAGGGCGACACCGTCGACCAGGGATTCTGGGGCCAGTCGCCCACAAACCGAGGCCTCCACAACTTCAGCGACGTCTTCTCCACCAACGGCATCCTTCAGCGAGGCGACCACTACCTTGTGCAAGTGCCCGGGCCCGGGCTCCTCCAGCAGCCCGATCACCAGGGCGAGCGCCACCCCGAAAGTGCAACGGGCGGCAGCCAGAACACCCCGCGACGAGGGCACACGTATGGGAATGCGAGGACCGAAGATACCGACCACACCCAGGGCGACGAGATCAATTCGGGCTGGAACGGGCCGGCGCCTACGGGTGTAAGGCATCGGTACGGTGAAACCCAGTCGACCGGAGGTGGGCTACACCAGGGCAACATATTCGGGAAGCCTACCTGATCTGGCGCCGGGTCGAATGGCTTTAACGACTGAGCCGTGCTCGGCATGCTTTATGACCAAAGGAATTTTACTTTGCCTAGTTTTTTCCAATGATAAGTTCTTTCATCAGTTATGATTAGGTGACCTGTAGTCAATGTGACCGTAGTTCATTGTTGTGTTTCAGATGGGACTCGTATGCATCAAATTATGCTTCTCAGTGTGTTAGTTAATGCTCCGCGGTGGGTTCTAAGCTGTAGATTTGACAGGTTGGGGGGGAGGTAGATAGATCAGTTGTTCTATGAGCTTTATTTTGGAATACGTGCTTCGTAGTGTCGCTGATGTGGGAATGCGCAAGACGGATGATTGTGGGAGTGTCTTCACCATGACAGTCGGCGCTCGATTGGAGCACAGATATCAGCACCAAGCGAGCTCAAATGCCACTGAGACTTGGTATCCCGAAGATTCTTGATATCCACATTGGTTGATTTGCAAAAAAAAGTTGTAACTGTATCGAGGCATCTGCCTGGAACCACCTAACAACCTAGAACGAATAAATTCATGATTTTTTTCTATCGCGCACGTAGTCGTTTCAATCAAAGCGCTGGAGAGTATGGGGATATTTTTTCTATAGCATCGCCTTGTTGAATTCTGTGCCAGCCCTGAGGCTCGGGCATTCTCAATCGTGTATGCAGAGTATATATAGACGCCATGCCAAATTAAGGCGAAAACCCCCGAAGGTAACTGACAAGCTCTTCCAATCACTTATACGATAAATGATGGGAATTTAGATCATTATTCCTGCAATAATTTTTGATCTTGGAATCACTTCAATAAGAAAAAGGTTAAAAAAGGGAAAAGTGCGAACGAATCAGACCCTGATTTGGTGCGTATTCCTAAGGCACCCATGTTATCCATCACACCATCGTCGCTGACTGCTGGCTTGGTTGTTGGAAGTCGACATGTCCTAGAATAAAGGACATATCAGCTATCAATAGCTCGAAAGACAAAAGCCCCTTTCTCGTGCTCAACAGGCATTCTATTCTACCTTTGGTTTCTCCTATGATTGTATACCACTTCAATTGCTTTGTTTTTGTCTTGTGTCAATTGATCTTCTTTGTGATTTTCCCTCCTTAAAAGATCAACTAAGTCCACCAATTAATATTTCCCTTCTCGCTTTCATTGAGGATTTTATGATTTGCTATCCGGAGGTGTAAATCATCCCTGATGCTCCATGTTTGATCTAGTGTTTTACCAAGACTCGCTTTCATCGCTTTATGCATCGCATTATATGGACCATTGCCCCAATTGCCCCAGGGAAAACCTAGTTCTCCCTTTCTCTCTTTCCAAAATTGGCCTGCCGAAATGTATTCAAAGGCACCTCGCACGCTTCCACTTGTTGGGCACCGTCGAAACCAATCAAGGAGCTTAGGCAGTGTTCCTAGGAATGGAAGAGCCGGCCCACGTAGCAAGATCTTTGCCCAGTGTCTACGAGATCATGGAATATTAATTGGAAACGACACAAAATGTTCTAATTCGAAGGACTTACAGCAGGTTCCGCGACCTACAACACTTCCGTCGCACATAAAGCTCCCCTCACAAAGTGATTTCAAGGAAATCAAGAGTACCTCTCAACTCAACGAAAGCCACGTCAAGAGAATATTACTACCAATATTAATCGGCGTAGACAGGGAAAGCTTTGCACACCCAACAGAGTTTCATTTTAGCAACTTTGAAACTATGACAGGGGGCCAAACTTCGAAGCCTGTGCCCGACTACTTTGAGGGCTCACCATCTGACCATCTCACCAGAGAGCTGAAAGAGGACCTTGGCGGGATCCTCATTCCTTCCAAAAACCCGGCCTGCCCAGTTGTTCCGAATTTCTTCGTCGAATTCAAATCCAGCAACGGAAGTACAGAAGTGGGCAAGCTCCAATTAGCACATGCAGGCGCCCATGGCGCCCGAGCAATGCATGCACTGCAGAGCTTCAGGGAGGCACCATCTGATGGTAAATGTCATACTCTCAGCTGGTTATATCACGATGGTACTCTTAGGTTCTATGGTCACTCCGTGCTACATCCTAAAGATGGACAAAGTAGGCCACTCTACCATATGCAGCAAATCGATGGATGGTATATACTGGCTAGTTTTCAAGAGTTTTGCAGAGCGATTTTTGCATTCAGGGAGTCTCGAAATATCGCAAGGAGGGATCGTGAAGGTTCTATTTGGATTGCCAATCTATCAACAGCAGCCTCTCGCACAAGACCTTTGCGAAACCCTAGATAGAAGAATGAATGTATCAGAGCCTACTTCTTTTTTGTTATACTACGCTTATCTTATTAGTATAGGTACTAGGTTAACAAAGTAAGAGAGCCTATATAAGCGTAGCACCGAAATATTTAGTTCTAGGGGCAAGAAACAAAATCCGAAACTCTCCTGGTTATATTCATACTCGTAATTCTTTATAAAGCGTGATTCAGATAGAGAGTGCCCACTATGATATGGTTATCATTGAGAAGGTAACCGGGTCGACTTCCATTGTCTTCTCATTGGCTTAGGAGTATCTGCCGCCAGTCCAGGCCGGCTACTTACCCTATATTCAGTATTTGAGCAATGATTAAATCAAGTGATTGTCACTATTTCCAACAATAATTGTGGCCTTAATGTATACTTCACTGGTGCTTTTCAAAGAATCGAACAACGATTGATGGTCGATTTCTCGTAAATTCTTAGCTAGACGCTTGCAGATGTCCTCGCATCTTGGAGCACTGGCCAACCCACGGAGCTAGCATGATTGGCAGAAGATCAAACCTCGGATATTGTTTTAGGCGTGTTCCTATTTGAGACAGTTAGCTAAGTCATGTGAATGATTGATATGCTACGCTTTTGGAAACTGGTGTGATGCTGGTGGTGATGAATTCATCAGACGCTCGTCATAGATAGACCGAGGTTGATAAAGAACTTGAAGCCATCAAGTCTTAGCTGGCGTGGGACATGACCCACAAGCAACATGACCACACACGTCTCTCCTGCCATTTTAACACAGCACTCTCTAATTTACCAGGGTATCTGATTGCTGGATTCCGCCTAACGCCAATGTCCAACCAGAAGAATATAATACATAGTAAAGTCTAGGCAAAGAGGCGATATCTTGCAGGCCAGAGCTAGCCCGTATCAGCCACCTGAGCTCTTAAAGGGGATTGGCACAGCGAATGACCACCGGATGTGTACTAGCCTACGGACGGCAGCAAGACAGTGATAGGGTACAGCGAGCAACTTGGACTGAAAAGGTATGTGCCGAGAACATGTCAGGTGCCGCCTGACCCGAGCTGTAAATGCCAGAGTAATATCGCTTTAGTGCTGTAGCCGTATGGTAATGAACTACTGGCGAAGCAGGGCTTCAACAACCAAGGATCACAGTATTGGGGCTAAGGCTGCCGGCTACCCTCTACTCGTGCAAAGCAGCATGGGGGGACCTTATGGCTCGTCCATCTCTAGGGTAAAGCTGGTGTGCAATCCACACTTTCTTGGCCATTATTTGCTCCTGGAACGCCGGACTGCGGTGGAGTGGGACTACATCTCTTTGCTAACCTCGATGCAGCTAATCTTCCAGACAGCATCCTGGCGTGACAAGCAATTTATTTTAGCCTCTCCAAAATGCATCCTTCCAGGCGATGCGATAAGCCCTACCGAGGAGCACTCCAGCCGGACAGGGTTGGAATGCCCGTTCTCCCAGTTGGAGATCTCCACAGTCTCGTTCATCTGTTCTCTTTGGGCTATCCTTAGTTGAGGTTTGCTTTCAGAAATAGCGATCCGACTTCGCAAGGCCTATGATAAAACTGAACGGACAGACGATGATGACTCCCCGTGAGCACATTGAATGAATGAGAAACACAAGTCACATGAAATTTCAGTGAGCAGTGGTCTTCTTACGCGCCGCTACTCAATTCACTGAAGCCGACTGAAAGGTCTCATGTCATTAATGTGGCGAGTAATCTCAGTCACCGCCGATTGGAATGTTGGAGGGCTGCTAGGAGCATCTTGGCGAAGAAAACGTTTAAGAGGAGGCGTATCGCCCGGAGCTAGATGCGAGTCGCGGGCGTGGGTCTGTCTGAACGGCGCCACGCTCCGCCTGGACCCTGGTCAGTCATGCCGGAAGACATGGATACTAGACGACAACCTTGGCGCTGCTTGTCATACGTCACAGAAGGAATTATCTGGGGGTGGGCAGTGCGTTGAGCGAAGAGCGCCCTCTCAGCCGGGGAGTCGGCAAAGCAGGTTTGACAGATTGTATTCGAGTCCACCGTTTGCCCGCTTCAACCAATGAAAATACAAGACTAACATGAGTCTGAATACGAACTGGGGAGCGTGATCAAATATTGCAACCGTTGACCGCAAACTATCGATAGTTGGTGCTCTTGGATCGGCGCTACTGCAGGTACCAGCAATGTCCGAATGCCCGAATCAGCAAAACAGCCTTCAGCTTAGGAGAACTTCTCCCGTGTCTCCTGAGCTCTGAGCCCTGACCATTTTCATCCTGCATGGACAAGTGAGTACTCCACTGGAACCTCAACAGCGATAACTGTTCGTCTCTTAAGATATCGGGTAGCCCATTGCTATCTCCACTCACTCGTCACAGTGGGCAGACGAGAGCTCGATTTCAAGCTAGACGGGACCTTTGTTAGTATCCGCGCTGAAGCGAATCTCTGGATTTGTCGCCAAGGAGCGTAATTAGTCTTAGTATATCTGAATGGCATGACACGAACGGCATCCCGCGTGCCGAGATAAACTTGGTGTAGATGTCGCATTGGGCTGGAAATAAATATTAAGACAACATCTACTCACTCGTTTTGGCCTTTGGCTGGCTTCGTGGCGTAGAGGCTTCTCACCCAAACTTTCGTTAATCACGCTTCGCATTCATTTATCCATTCCTTTGATTTTCATTCTTTATAAGTCTCGTCTCTCTTTATTTCCCCATTCTGTCACAATGAAGGCGCTTTTGGTCGCCGCCCTCGCTTTGCTGGCACCTCTAGCTACTGCCACGGAGAGACCACCTCTCCCTGCTTGCCCATCCGGCAATTTCACTCCTTTTATCAGCAAAGGCTGCTACTCTGATGATGGATCAAAAGCACTGGACTTCCGCTCTCCCTCGAGCCAATATAGCATGACTGTTGAGCAGTGTACTGCTGAGTGCAAGGGTAGGCAGACTGTTTGAGACCATGGTTCCCAGAACTCGACTGACTAGAAATAGGTAACGGCTATCGATATGCTGGTCTCAAGTACTACGGAGTTTGCTACTGCGGCTCTTCTTTGAGTGCTGCGAAAGTGGACGACTCCCAGTGTTCATTGGCTTGCAGTGGTGACAAGAAGGAGGTCTGTGGAGGGAACACTCAGCTCTCCGTTTGGGAGGACCCTACCTTTGCGAAATGCGGCAGCGATATCACCATCAACGACTACGAATCTCTAGGTTGCCATGATGATGATGGCTCTTCTGAGGGACGTGCTCTTAATCACAAGCTGGACTTGGATGCGAACACGTTTACCGCTAAGCTTTGCCTTGACGCATGTAGGGTTCGAGGATATGCCTATGCTGGCACCGAAAATGGTAGTAAGTTGATAAAATCTTCATTATTTTGCGATGGAATATGCCTCAGATGCGCAAGAAACTGACAGTCTTGAATAGACGAGTGTTGGTGTGGTACCAATGTAGGAAGCAAGAACATCAAAGTTGACGATGCGAAATGCGACATGCCCTGCCAGGGTGGTCCATCCGGCAAATGCGGTGGTAGATCTGTTATTGACCTCTATCACGCCAAAAAGCTCGAGTCTGGCGAACCATGCTCTGGCTCAAATACCCAAGCGCCTGCACCAAGTTCCACTGCTACAAGAACAAGGACAAGAAGGTGCTCTAGAAGACCATTGACAAGCACTTCGCTTGCCCAGAGCTCTCCCTCAACCCCAGCTACAACCCCTTCCCAGGAGTCTAGCACTCCCATTCCCTCTGCAACTTCCCAGGAGTCCGGTACTCCTCTACCATCCATGACTTCTTCTGAGGGAGCTGGCACTACCCAGCTGTCTACTCCATCATCTCAAGCAGCGAGCACACCCGTCCCCTCCCCATCAACATCACAGCAGGAGTCTTCTACCACACCTCAAACGCCTGTCACATCTCCGGCATCAACCACCCCTCAACCTTCAACCACGATTGACTCGTCCAGCACCCCGGCAGGCACTGAAATTCAGGGCACATCGTCTTCTGCTCTCCCTACGCCTGTGTCTTCAACACCCGAAGCTTCCACAACTGCTATTTCACCAACCTCGAGCCCTTCCACGACTGGACCATGCACTGGTGACGTCGGCTCTTGCTCTGGATCAACGCCCGTAGCCTCATCCTCCACCATTGTCCCTTCAGGAGTATCTACCACAGAACCGTGCACTGATAACATTCCTTCCTCGACTCTCGCTGCATCCACAACACCGCAGGGCAGTTCTACTCCTGGATCTTCGACGCCTGGTGCATCCATTCCAGGTACTTCCACCGCGGGGACATCAACTGCTGGCACATCTACTCCTGCCCCATCGACTACCCAGGTCTCAAGCACTGAGCCTTGCTCCGATGATATCTCGAGCACCGTTACACCTTCTTCAACGCCGAGCTCCGCCGTGTCAACCACCTCCGCATTGGCTACGTCAACTTCCCAGCCGTCCAGCTCCACTACCCCATCTACTTCCCCCAGCTCTACTACCGTACCAAGCACCACTGCTGGAGCCGGCTCAACCAGTATTCCTGGAACCACTACCGTTCCGACCACGACACAGAGGCCGAGCACCACATCTACTCAGCCCATGTGCACGGCTACTCATACTCAGCCCGCCACTTGCGAGTTCAAGTGCGGTAATTGGTGTGCTCCTGCTCTCCCTGACTGGAAGGACAAGAACAGCTGTCTCAACGCCGCCAAGACCTGCTCCCTTCAGATCGCCTCTTGCTTCAAGACAGCCGGGTGGCCCAAGGCTATCGAATGCTTCGACTTCTCGAAGTGGTGTGGACAAGTCGAGGAGTACTGCCACAGCGACTGCCCCTCAGGCAATTGTGGAAAGACAGACTGCTGGAACAAGCGCAAGCCGTCAGGCTCCAACGGGACACCTCCTACTGTCAGCACCACAGTCTACCCCTGCCCTGCCACGTCTACAATGGCCACCAGTGTGGCCAGGCCCAGCACGACCTCTCACTGTGCTCCTACCCCAACCAATATCTGCAAGCAGCCCACCAACACTGACTGGGGATATGGACCTGGAAAGCCCGTGGCCGGAGTGCCTCTGCCCGTTGTTGGCTGCAATGACAATAAGAAGGACTGGAAGTCTAACCCCTTCAAGTTCTACAACCACCCTGATAGCCGCAGCTGCCAGTCCTTCCCATGGAATCAGCGTCCCAATGTCTGCGCCGACGCCTGCCAGGAGCAGTATGAGGACTGTGTTGATACATACGTCCAGAGCTGCAATGATCAGTCGTGGAGGAACGGCAAGAACCACAAACGTACCAACGACAATGGTGGATGTGCGGCCTCCAACACTGGGAGCGAGTGGCGGAAATCCGGCTGCGACAAGGTTCACTGCTGGGGCCAGGGCGGAAATGATGGCAACACGGCCCAGAAGCGATGCAAGGCACAGTACCAGGACTGCCTGGCGATCAACAAGAACATGCAGCCTAGCAACCAATGTCAGTCTTGGTGCGACGCGAAGAGCAATTAGGTTTCGGCCTTGGGTGTGCGATATATAATGCAGTGCGAGTGAGTAAAGCTCTCACAGGATCAGTAGTTTTAGCCGTTTTACAATCATTTAAGATCGATCTAATCGTAGTATTAATTTAATTTTATAACCATCGTGTGGCAAGAACAAGAAGCCACTATCAAATATTGTGTCTTGATAGCCGTGTGAACATTATCGTGTGATAAACATGTTGATGATCTGCAAAATCCGAGCCTCTTTACTCCAACAAGAAAAAGGTGTTCAGCAACCATTCGCCAGTTACCGATTAAGTTGTAAAAGTGATATCCACAGGGATATATTGAAATGAGCGCACTGACGGAAACGTGAGACCAGGGGGTCGACATTCCATCTCTTGGTATATCTGATGCACGTTTATATTGGAAAAGAGCACGGGAAGTGGCTGACCCCATTGACATCCATGATCCCCAACGTACTATTCTGACTCGCAAAGATCACCGAGTGATCATTTCCGTCAGGCCAACCTCGTCACCCCGCATTTTGGGGCCGGGGGCGGGGCCAAATCATCGAAATGCATCCAACGTGATTGGGTGTAGAGAGGTCGTCTCGACGGGTGTGGCACTATGGGGTGCAGTAGTGTTGCCCTTGCCAAGGATCAGCAAACCCGTCAACAGACGACTTTTTAGTTGTTATGCTTAGCTCAAGGTTAACAAGGTGAGAAGGGGGGGCGGATTAATATCCGGCGAAGGGGTCGACGCTGATCACACCAGAGCCTGCAGTTGATTGGAGGAGATACTGGCAAACAGTATGTATCCTGGTCTGCATTTCCATGATACATCCCGTACCGCAGTGCCAAAGGGTGACATTCTGTGCAACATGTGCCCCTGGTTCCCTCTTGTGATGCCATGGCTCGCTCAATTTACATCCCGAAGCGATGCTACCTCGTTGGCTTTCAAGTGCGGGGTTAACATTTGGCTCTCTGGTACAAAACATATATATATGATTGTGCTGTTGATGTTATTGTCGTACTTTGATGCCCATCATTGATCTATGTCACCACTTCTTCCCCATTCTTAATTGTCAAGGCTCGTTTTCGAGGTGCAACCAGCCCTAGGCTTCACCATTTCAAGATGGCGAACACGCAGACTATCGAAAAGCGAGACATCGAGACTGTTATTGAAGACGGTTCTCATGTTGAGCACAAACCTCAGGTTATCGAGATCGGAGACTTCCGTGTTATTGGTCTTGACCCTGATGATGCTGATTTCTTCATCAACTATCCAGAGGAGAAGAGGAAGACAATTTTCCGAAAGGTGCTGAACTCTCAATATCCTCCAGCCCATCATCTATTCCAACTGTAACTAACTTTCCGCAATTTGTGTAGATTGATAGGCGGCTCATCCCCGTTCTTGCGATGCTATACCTCATCTGCCACATCGATCGAGCCAACATCGGAAACGCAAAGATTGAAGGGATGGTAGAGGACCTTGGAATGACTGGAGTTCAATACAACACAGTCCTCTCTATTTGTTAGTTCTGCCTGAAGTCCCTCGGCCCCTTCCTTTGCAAACCCGAAATATGGGACCACTTCAAGTTCCACGTTGGCTGACATGGCATCTACACAGTCTTCGTCCCATACGTCTTATTTGAGATCCCCAGCAACATCTTGCTGAAGAAATTCAAGCGCCCATCAACATATCTTGGAATTCTCACTTTCTGCTGGGGAATTGTCATGACCTGCACTGGCCTGGTCCGCAACTTCGGAGGCTTGATGGCCACTCGAGTGCTTCTCGGTATTTTCGAGTTAGTTTACTTCCTGACCATGCAAAAAATACTCTGACTAACAAAAATAACTACAGGGCTGGATTTTTCCCTGGCGCCATCTACCTCTGCTCCTACTGGTACATGCCCAGAGACATGTCGGCTCGAGTTTCATACTTTTACTGCGCAAGCGCTCTGTCGGGGGCATTCTCAGGTCTTCTGGCCGCAGCCATCGCCAACATGGACGGTGTGGGCGGCTATGAGGGCTGGCGCTGGATTTTCCTCCTGGAGGGCATCGTCACTGTGGTGATGGGTGTTGCATGTTTCTTCCTCCTCATCGATACACCCGCCCTATCAACACGCTGGCTTGAGCCTGAGGAGATCCGCTACTTGGAGCTCTCCATGCTGATCAAGCAGGGAGGAAACTATCAGGAGGAGTCTAAATTCAGTTGGCGGGACTTGAGAATGGTTGTCACGAACTGGAGAGTTTATGTTCAAGCTTACTTCCTGGTTTGCCAGTCTGCTCTCTCTTATGGTAAGCTTCAGCCCGCGACTTGAGAGCCACTTTCCAAAATCCACCTTTCGGAACTGACCTTATTTCGTGATCAGGAACCAAGTTCACACTTCCCACAATCACCAAGGCTATGGGATTCAACAACACGGATGCCCAACTGACATCCGCCCCTCCTTATGTTGCTGGTGCTATCTCGGCGGTGATTTTCGCCAAGTTATCTGACAGGTTCTTTTGGCGTATGCCGTTCGTCTGTGCCCCGATGCTCATTGTTACTACGGCCTACTCCGTCCTCTTCTCATTGAACGGGCAGCTCTCTGCAAAGAGAGGAGTAGCTTATTTCTCAATCGTGCTTGGCAACATTGGGTTCTTCCCTCTACAGGCTGCCGCCGCCAGTTGGAACAGTAACAACATCGCCCCGGCCTCCCGGAGAGCCATCGGCATCGCCTTGATGAACTGTGTCGGAAATGTCGGTGGTATCGTCGGTAGTTTCATGTATCTTGAGTCGGAGAAACCAAAGTACCCCACGGGTTTCGGTCTCAGCTTAGCCTTTGGTGCGTCTGGATTTATTGTGGCACTTCTCCTGGAATGGAGCTACAAGGCTGCGAACAACAGAAAGGCAAAGCTTGCGCCGGAGGCACGGGTCACTTATACTGAACAGGAGTTGATTGATATGGGTGATAGGTCACCGCTCTTCAAACACGTTCTATAAAGACCCTCGCCGGAATGGGCTGGGACTCTTTAGAGAGATGAGAATCTGAAGAGGTGAGCTAGATAGTGGTACAGAGGAAATTCGAAATATTGATGAGAAAAGGAAAGATTGTGATATTTGAACCAAGCTCAAGTGATTCAGCTTTTCTTGTAGAGCTATTGGAGGTTCCAGTTACTTCCAGAATCTGTCCTCGTAACTCTGGAGTGTTAGATCATATCTTTACCACGTCGGAGTTATGAGTTCAATTACGTTGTACCAACTCTAGAATTCGGAACATGGCTAAGGCGCTTCGAGTGGACACCTCGATTCTTCGACCAGTGCTGGATTGCCTCCAAGAATCCATACCTTGGGATGTTACTAGAAAAAAATTAATAAAGCCCCTTGGAGACTCGGGGAGGCAAGTCAGCCGAGACTTATAAGGAATATTTTCCATCATCGGCTTTCAGTTGCAACTACGTCGGCCAGGTCTCAACGGCTGTTCAATGCCCGCAGCCCAAACAAGTCTTTTCGGGCCTGGATTTAGAAAATGCAGGTTGCACTAGTCAGAATCACTTTGTATTTGCTATTCCACAAAGTGTAGAGGGAGGAGCACTGGAGAGCCGGCTCCGTTAGCTTACCTCGCCGTGAGACGTGTCTGCCTTCCTTTCGAACAAACAAATCTACTGGAAGATCTTCAGGGTATTGAAACAAAACATCAGCGTCTCAATCTGGGATCCGACAGTCTTAAATGTCTTATGAAAATGTTTGTCATGAAAACAAACGCCTCAATGCTGCCTACCCAGCGAGCAACTCTAGCATAATGTTCATAAACTCAGGTCATAACGCTTTTTATTCACAAATAAAAGGCTTATTCCCTCTGTATATGAATGAATATTTGTATTCATCAATAGCTAATTTTCAACTTATTGTTTTGACTATTGTTGCCTGCATTAGAAAATCGAGATAAGTAGGAGAGCTGTGTTGCAGTCTTGTTTTTTTTGACATCCGCTTGCTTGGTAAATATTATTATACTTAGATTCCGCAATATATAGCCTTCTTCTAAAAATAAAGTCTTTCTTGAGGCTCATCCTCGGGGGGTCTTCTGAAATCATGGGTCCATGGATCGCGATTCTTAAGCTGGTGCTTAAGTCGACCGGGACCGCCTCGGCGTCGTGCCTCATCCTTTCCAAAACTGCATTTTCTTCCTCCGTCAAATCAAGACATGTGATGCTAAACATACCATTAGCCGCCTCTTCGTATCTCTCAGAGGGCTGGCAGACATAAGAAGCGATGTTCGATTTTGGCCAACCTCGTCCGACGACGTGAAATCTACTCGGCCTTGAGCTTAGGGTCCCGGAGTGAATTTTTAGCTCTTTCAGCGGCGGAAAGCTTGAGGGGCGCTTCGAGTGGATATAAGTAACAATTTTCTCGACAGCAGAGTAGGTCAAGGGGGGCTGAATGAAGATAGCAGACCGGCCAGGCAAGCACAGCTCAAACCATATTGTCAAGCTTCGCAGTTTCCGGAACCCTGCAATGATATCGAGAATATCGTACGGCCAATCATCTTTCCTGTTGATATCAAGCTCCAGCTCCTCAATAAGAGGACATTCCTCTTGAATTTTGCGCAGGGATGGTGCGTCGATAGATTCTTCTGCCCAGAGATGTGACTGGTCTTGATGAAGATGAAGAGATTTCAGTTTAGAAGCATGTTCAATGATTCCCTCGACCCCTAGTGAAATAAAGCTGGGAAGTATGATGGTACTGAGAACACTGGGGACCGCCCTGTAAAACCCCGGAAAGTCGCTCCATTGTGTGTCTCGTCCAAGCGAGGCCTCGTCAAGCGAAATGAGCTTTGGTGCCAGCTCCAAGGCAAAGTGCCAGTCTCGGGTCCATAGCTTTCTTAATCTGGACCAGTCAAATGTCTCAACCCAGTAATCCGTCTCTCTGCCCTTGCCAGGATAATCTTCAAGGCCTCTGAATCCTCGCATTTTATCTTCGGGCTGAATTTCATACCCAAAAGTGTAATGATGCAGTTCCAGCTCCTCTAGCGCTGGAGGTCGCTCACCATCCACAAATCCAAGGCCGACATATCTACGCAACGGGCGTATGACACAACCACGTCTCCAAGTGCCAAGATCGATGGCAAGCTTGCGAATATTGGGGCTGGACAAGAGTATCCGCTTCAAGATCTGGGTCATCTTTTTGCAGCTGTCATCTCCGTTGGTAGCCAAGCACATCCTAATCGAATACAAATTGTCACTCCCCGCCTGAAGAGGGGCAATGAATTTCGGTATCGGCTTAAGTAGCACGGCTATCTCTTGTTTGAGATTGGTATGGAGGCGCACCAGCTTCATGGGGCGAAGGGCAGCAATGACCTGCTCAGGAACACCGATCGACGAAACGGGGGGGCCGTCGTTCAACCATTCTAGGTCCCTCAATCCCGTGGTCTTTTGCAGGAGCTGAACTACGGCATCGACGTTTTCACGGTGCTCGTCACCTCGCACGTCAATGCGTCGAATAGCTGGCGACAATCCACTTTTCACGATATATGCAAGCCGCTTTTGAAGCTGCTCTCTGTTGCTCTCTGATATGTTGAGGCATATCTCTCGATGCTGAGCATACCGCGTTGCATGGTAGTAGTGCGAACTAACCAGTGCGAGATTCTTCATAGATCTCGGACTTTCAGTACAGACCATGTCGAAGATGATGGTGATCAGTTCATTCCCCAGGCTATTTAACGAGGGTTGGGCATCGTCCCGCTTCTGCGGGGCTCGAAGCTCAATTAGGCGAGGAGCCGAGCCATCCCAGTCGATATCGGCCAGTATGTCGAGGAAGGACTTCTTCATATTTTGCATGAATTGAAGTGCCATTTTAACCAACGTTGATGAGAGAGAAATACTGGGCGTTGCGTTGTGGAATGGGAAGATCAAGCATGTGTTGCAGTTAAAGGCATTGATGAATGATGATGACCTGGCGACCACGCCACGTCCACGCATGTGACCATGTCAGCTCACCTGAAACCGCTCCGACCACGTGATCATCCATCCAACGGCTTCTATGACTTCATAAACGAAGTTTTATTGATATAGGAATCAATAACCATCCTGCGGCCCTTTTTTTTTCAAGTCTTACGCACCAACTATATCAGCAATCAGGCAAAGGATAATGGCTGTACACTTTTAGTTGTTCAGCATCCGAACTCATATAAGTATTCTAGGATGTAGAAGCCCAATATTTGATTAGTTGTTCATGATGAAAATGATTGATTCTACCCGGCCTGCTCGAAAAGCCTGAGTACCTCAATGTCCTCTTGTCAAGGCTCCCTAATCAAGGTATCGAAGTACAGCCATCAAGTTATGTGCATTGTCTAGTCTCATGAAAAAACCTTGTTCATATGGTTGTCTTGTTCTTAAACGTCCTCTCGTAAAATATGTCCCACGGCCACATGTCGTTTAATTTGACTTGAAGTCAAACAGGCACTTTAGGCGATGGTGCAATTCTAAATTTGTAACGTAGACAACTGCCTTAGTAGGGAGCATTCTGCCTTGACGATCGAGAAAGGGATATCAATATATCAAACTTTCAAGCAGGCTGCTTAGAAGACGAAAGTAGAGTTATGAGCAGAAAGGGAGCCTATCCCTGCAGCATGTTATGGCTAGAGACGGGGATTTTTCGACTTCATCAATGCCTGGCAATAATTGATAACCCGAACCAAACAATAACAACAGGAGAGGAGAAGAAAATAGAAATACAAGGCCCATTCCCTTTCTCAATATGTCAAATCTCAATTTAAATGCTTATGGTTTCGTAAAAAAACGGCTTTCTACCCAAAACACCAGGCACACAGATGGACTGACGCCCGCCTCGGGTATCACAACGCCATTCAAATTTGCTCGTCATCCCAGCTTTATGCTTCATGGAAAATCCTAACTTGCCCCGATCGTGCAAAATGCCCCTGTCCTTTAGCTGTTATTGGTTCTGGTACTAAACCAGTTGACTAGAAATATAAATCCCGAAGATCTTTTATCTGGATTTGGTCCCGCATATTAAATCCTTTGACCGAGAAAGCATTGGCTAGCATTTCGTTCTTTTCTTTCCTATCGATAGCTTTCAATTATTAAAGAGTCGTGAATATTGGCTTATATAGAGCAGGAAAATTGGGGAAGAAGATGGGCGAGCCACTTGGGATGGATATCATGTCAAGACCCAGGCCCTGTTGCGCCAATCTTGGTGATTGCATGTAACCACTTTCATACGACGTCCCGGGCCCCAGCTATTGTATATTTAGGTAGTACTATGACGTCACAAATGAACAACCTCCTCTTGTAAGAATTGACTTCCAGAGATGGCAGCTCAAAGTCTTGTGTTACACATTAGGGCGGGAGTCCTACATGATTCACATGCCCGAGGCTTCAAATGTATCTCCATCGACCCGAGATACCAACAAATAATTGGAGTTTTTCCAGTATGAAGGGCAGTATGGTCACCTAGTTTCATCAATTGGACCAAGATGAATTTGTGTGGCTGCTTAACTTTTCGAGGCATGGTGTTCTGACACAGGCTTAAGCCAGGGGCAGGCCAAAACGTCAACCTGCCTCTGGATGATCTCTTTCGCGTCGAAGGCATATATCAGTGAAATACAGAGCTAATAGCATAAGACCAGCGCCAAGCTAGGCGCGGCTGTTAGTAAGGCTTTTCATATTTCTCAGAGAACTTTCAACTTTAAATATTTAAGAGATTCCGAAAAGAGAACAAAGTAGCTTATTATATCCAGCAGCGATCCGGAAGGGCAACATTAGCCTCTTAATATATTTATTATTAAAGACTTAAAAGCTATAATATTATAGAGTAATTTTATTATTAAGGCTACCCTTTAATAAATTAAGAATAAATAATATAATTATAAAGTTACTCTTAAACTTATTATCTTAAATAATTTACTTAATAACTTATAAAAAGAGGTTTATATTTATTATTAATAAAAAAGCTTATAATATTATATAACTAAGTAGGTTTAATAATATTAAAATTTATATTTAATAATCTATAAATTATTATTAAACCCCCCCTTAAAGAAGGTATATTTTATAATAGAATAAGTAAAGATTCTTAGTAATTAAACCTCTTTATTATAAATAAAGGCCTCTATTAAGCTATAGGAAGTTATATATAAAGTAGACTAATAAGCTTTACTTAAGGACTAATAATATTAACCTATTACTTAGGTAAAGTAATAGCTTAGTAATAAAACTATAATAACCTTAGTATATATATATATTTATTTCTTAAATAGAGATACTCTCTTAGATAATTATTAATATAATTACTATTACTTTTATTAAAACTAGCTCTTTAATACTTATATATTAATAATAACTTATATAGTATTAAGATAACCTAATTATACTACTTAGAATAATACTCTAATTAATTTAACCTTAATCTACTTTAGACCCTATCTAGTATAAGTCTACTAACTATTATATATTAATAACTCTTATTTAGCTAATTACTTTATCTTAATTACTATATAATAATAAAAGAAGATACTATAGCTTCTACTATATTTATTAATAATACTCTAATAAAGCTAACTACTTAAGAGATAATATAAAATCTTATAGTCTAAATTAACTAGCTTAAGAAGGGGAAAGTAAAGGATTAAGGAGAGGTTATTTAATTAACTCCTTTAGGACCTTTCTCTAGAGATATTAAGAAGCTAGAGGGGTTTAAACTCTAGCTTTAAGCTTACTTTAAATTCTTTTTAATAAGACTTAAAGGTAAAAAAGAATAAGTTAGGTATATAGGAATATACCTTATTAATACTATAAGATAATAGTTTTAAGCTTATCTAAAGGATTAATATAATAATAAAGCTAAGCTAAAGAATAAGGATTAAGAAATTATTAATATCCTTATTAGTTATATTAACTTTATTACTATAATTACCTATATATTTAATATAATAAATAAAGAATAATAAGTTATTAAAGATCTTAAGGATCTTAAATAAGTAGGACCTATATTAAGGTATACTATTAGGTTTAGGGAAGTTATAACTTAGTTAGATTAAGATAATAGACCCTTTAAGGTAGCCTTCTATAATAGACTAAAGGAGGAAGTAAAAGATTAACTTTATAAACTTAAGGAACTAAATAACCTATTTAAATATATAGTAAATATAATAAGGATTAATAACTACTTATATAAATAGAAATAATAAAAGGGGAATAAATATAGTAATTAGAACTATATTAAGTCTATAAATAAACCTAATTAAGGAATATAATAAATCTTATTATTATTTATAGAGTTTAAGATATACTTAGGTCCTATAGAGCTAAAGACTATAAAAAAAAGAAAATATTATAATTATAGAGAAATAAGGTATATATCCCTTTAGTACTTAAAACCTAAGAAGTAATATAATTAAAAGCTTACTAAAGAAGATAAAAAATAATTAAAAATAATTAGAAAAACTAAGAATTAGACCTTAGGAATAATTTAATAAATAACTTAAGAAGGGATATTTATAAATATAGTAATTCCTAAATTTTCTATAATACTTATACTTATTTTTATTAAAATATTAGAAAAATAAGAATAATAGGAAAATAGTATAGTAAAAGAAAATTAATAATTAATTAAAGAAGTTTTCTAAGATATAAAAAAGAAGTATAAAAAAGGGGAAATTAATCTAAAGTATAATCCCTTAACTAAGTATAAATTAGTATTTTAATATTATAATAGGTTTATTAAATATATATTAAAGGAGAAGAAATACTATTTATAAGTAAGAAATATAATATAAATAAAATATAAAGAAGTATATATATACTATTAGCTAAGGATTAAATAATAAAACCTAGTTACTATAATAGTATTTATAATCTATAGGTAAAAGATAGTAGATATTATTTAATACTTAAATAGCCTCTTTAAGTTATTAAGCTATTAAAAGAGTATCCTTAGACTTAATTACTATAGGGAATTATAGATAATATACTATAATATCTTCTATATAATTTATTAATAATAGAAAATAAGGAATAATACTTTTCCCTAACTAAATAGTAAGATATTACTTAAGTATATTAATAAATAGATACTTTACTTTATAAATAAACTACTTAATATTAATTAGTATTCTATCTTTAAGGAAGACCTAGAAAAATACCTTAGAGAATATAAATTTAAGGAATTACTAACTAAGTTATATTAAGAATAATAATATAAAATCTATAAAGAAGATAAAATTAATCTATAATATAAGTAAAAAGCTTAAGAAGACTAAGTAGCTTATAATTATAAAGGATATATTAAATAATATAATAATTAGAAATATCTAAATTACCTATATATAAAATAACTAGTACTTAATATAATAAAATAGGGAGATAATAATAAGAACTATATAAAGAAATCCTTAAAATAATAATAAGACTAGGAAGAGAATAAGTATTAGTATTAAGAATAAGCTACTATAGTATTATTTACTAAGGATAAAGAAATTAATAAAGAATAAGGGATTATATTTATAAATAAGAAAGAATAAATTATAAGCTATTCTTAAGAGAGGATAATATCTCTTAAGGAATAAGGTAAAATTAGATAATAACTAAGAAAGTTTTAAAGGTATATTCTAAAATATATAAATATACCTAAGATACTTAAGGAACTCCTAAAGTAAGTACTTAAATATAATAATAAGTATAATAAACTTAAAGAATAAGTTAATTAAGTAAAAAATAATAAAACCTTCTATAATAGAGCTATAAAATAATAAAATAAAAGTTAAAAGACCTTAAAAATAATAGAAATTAAAAGCTTTATTAATATTATAATTAATATTAAGATTATAAGGAAAATA